TAGAGACTGCCGGCTGTGACAATGTGAATGGAGGCTGCAGCCATGGATGCTCCTCAGAGGACGATTCATATTACTGTCATTGTCCCCGGGGTCTGATGTTGGGAGATGACAAACGGACCTGTCAAGGTGAGCTGAACCTATCTCTCCTACCTCGTGCCTCTTTCTGTCAGGGTTTGTAGATTTCACTACGATGTTTGTTTTGTGTGCAGTCCCTGTGCAGTGTGATCCTAGTTCCATAGAAGTCTCGATTCCCAAAGAACTGGTGGGAGGACTTGACCTCTTCCTGTCTAACAGCTCCTGCCGGGGCATTTCCAATGGCACCCACATTAACCTCCACTTTAGTCTGAAGACATGTAGCACTGTGGTCCAGGTAAAAATTATTATGGATTTTTCAAACTTTGATCAGTCATTGGATTTCATGCACACCAGGACCAAAACTTGTCAGTTGCCCATTAATGGATTGTCTATTTACACTAAGTGCAAATAGCCCACCTTGTTGGCAGAGGCTATTTACACTAACTTCACCCACCAATGTGCAGTTGGGTTAGTCAGCATTACATAAGATGGCTGTCAAAGAACAGTTCCAGTGGTGTAAGTGGTAAAACATGTAGTGCAGACTTTTTGACACAAGATCCAATCTACTTTTTGCCGAACTCATTCTTGTCCCTTTTCACATCTCATATCACACCAGAAAGGCATTTATTTTCAATAAAAATTAAGGAAAATAATCGAAAAGTTGAAAATGAAGAGTAGGGTTAGGGTTAGGTGTAGGGAGGGATTTATTGTCCCAATAAGTCAGCATCCATTTATTAATTTTAATAAAACGTATAATTTACACTCAATACGTTATTATTGCATACTGTTTTATAATGTACTACAATACTGAGGTTCAGATATTTGCTACTACTTGCAATAAGTAGTATAATTAGCAGAAAATACTGCTATTTTTACACAGTGTAAATAGACGCTATGACTATTTTCACTTAGTGTAAATAGCATCTATCGCTAAGAAAATATGCTATAGATGTTATAGCAATAGATGCTATTTGCACTTAGTGTATTTGCACTTAGTGTAAATACAGTAGTATCGCTATGCAGCTTATGGCAATAACAGCAAATAATAATAGAGTCAAAAAGAACTGTTACCACTGGGAAATACTGTGATCTTTACTGGTCAAAAAGCCTCCTCAAAAGTACTTGTCAATGGTATTCCTTCCTAATCTGCAGCTTGCAGGACTGAATCCATAACACCTACTCAGAATCCAACCCTAATGGATAAAATCAAGTCCTAGCTTCCATATTTTTCCTTACTCTCACATTAATGAAGTAAAATAGGTGGTGAATACCATTACATGTGAACTATTTGATAGTTCTCTGGGAAGGTAGTGGAACATCAACTTCCTTTCTCTCTTCTCCAGGTCATTGATGACAAAATTGTTGGCACCAACTTGGTAACAGGTTTGCCACAGTCTAGTCCCAGCAGCAATGCGGACTTGATTGTGCACACCAGTAAACTACTGCTGCCAATTACGTGTGAGTTTCCACGGCAGTACGAGGTGTCGGATGGCTACCTGCCCAGTCTGCGCAACACAGCACTCGAGTTAGCGGGCCACAGTGAAGGAATATTCCCCTTCAGTTTGGAGCTCTTCAAAAACGCTGAATTTTCCGAGGCATACAACCAACCTCCTCAACTGCGTTTGCGTGATTCGCTGTACTTTGGCGTCGATCCTCGAGAGCGGGTGGATGGCCTTGCTGCTTTTGTAGACAGCTGTTTTGCCACCCCTGGTCCCAAAGCTGACCAGGCCTTAAAATACTACCTAATCAGAGATGGGTAGGCATTTAAAATAATTAAAAAATGACGGCATGTTGTTCTGTACACTCATTCTGCATGCTCCATGACTGGTGCTATAAGTGATTTTAGCCATTTTACTAACTTCAACTAGCCACAGAATTAGACCACCCTATACCTTCCCTGTTGAAAAACCAGCATATGCTGGTATGTTATGAAGCATGGCAGCTGGTTTGAGCTGGTTTAAGCTGGTTCTTAGTTGGTCATGAGCTGGTTTAAAGGGCTAGTTCACCCAAAAATTTAAATTCTGTCATTAATTATTCACCCTCATGTTCTTCTGAACCCGTAACCTGTAATCCATCTTCGGAACACAAATTAATATATTTTTGATGAATTCTGAGAGCCCTCTGACCCTCCCATAGACAGCAAGGGTCCTTACACGATCAACGTCCAGAAACGTAGCAAGGAGATCGGTAAAATAACCCATGTGACATCAGGGGTTCAACCGTAATTTTACGAAGCAACGACAATACTTTTTGTACGCAAAGAAAAAAACAAAACAACTTTATTCAACAATTTGTCTGCTCCACGTCACCCTGGTGCCATTTTGGAGAATATCCACTGAACGCAAACAGCGTATGCTATTCTGTGTCAGCTGCGTCACGCGGATTCATTGTTTTCGTTCAAATCAAAGCGTAAACAATGTAGAAAATTCCAAACCCGTAAGACCTTCGTTCATCTTCGGAACACAAATTAAGATATTTCTGATGGAATCTGAGAGCTCTCAGACCCTGCATAGACAACAACGCAACTGAAATGTTCCCAGGTCCAGAAACGTAGCAAGGAGATCGGTAAAATAACCCATGTGACATCAGGGGTTCAACCGTAATTTTACGAAGCAACGACAATACTTTTTGTACGCAAAGAAAAAAACAAAACAACTTTATTCAACAATTTGTCTGCTCCACGTCACCCTGGTGCCATTTTGGAGAATATCCACTGAACGCAAACAGCGTATGCTATTCTGTGTCAGCTGCGTCACGCGGATTCATTGTTTTCGTTCAAATCAAAGCGTAAACAATGTAGAAAACGTATCTGCGTGTTGCAGCTGACACAGAACAGCATACGCTGTTTACGTTCAGTGGATATTCTCCAAAATGGCACCAGGGTGACGCGGAGGAGACAAATTGTTGAATAAAGTCGTTATTTTTGTTTTCTTTGCGTACAAAAAGTATTCTCGTATAGCTTCGTAAAATTACGGTTGAACCCCTGATGTCACATGGATTATTTTACCGATCTCCTTGCTATGTTTCTGGACCTTGATCGTGGTAATTACATTGCTGTCTATGGGAGGGTCAGAGAGCTCTCAGAATCCATCAAAAATATCTTAATTTGTGTTCCGAAGATGAACGGAGGTCGGGTTTGGAACAACATGAGGGTGAGTAATTAATGACAGAATTTTCATTTTTGGGTGAACTAACCCTTTAAGCTGGTGCTGAGCAGGAGCTAACCAGTTTAGGACCAGCACATGACCAGCATATAACCAGCTCATAACCAACTAAGGACCAGCTCAAACCAGCTGCCATGCTTCAAAACATATCTAACCAGCATATGCTGTTTGTTTTCAACAGTGTTCTACCATAACATCTATCTCCAAAACCTGAATACTTCAGCAAACCTGACAGATATAAGGCACAGGAGCTGATTGGTTGGCTCTCCTGTCAATTTTTTAGCTGTTTAGCGCATACTGTCACAGGTGTGATTCATCAGGACATTTCTGTGTGGGTACAATTTATCCACACTATTTTGAGGAGCGATTGCTTACGGCACCTTTAAACAAAGGCAGAGTCTATATTTAGAGAGTGTTGTGCTTTAATGGCCTTATATTTCTCAGCTGCATTTCAGACGATACGGTGTGTCAGTTTTCGTCTAAAGATCAGCTCTCCAAACACTACCAGGTCCCTGTCTTCAAGTTCATTGGCAAGGACAACAGAGTGAGTAGGGAACAGGTGCATGCTGGGAAATACAGCTGCCTGGTCTGTCCTATGCATGTGCTTTTGTGTGCTAATGGGCTAGCTATTACTTTGCTGAAACTTTTGTGTGTACTGTGTGTGTATTAGGTGTTCCTGCATTGCCGTGTGCTGGTGTGTGGGCAGGAACAAGGGGAATCTCGTTGTACACAGGGCTGCCGAAAGCGCTTGAGGAGACATCTCTGGACTGACCAGCACCAAGAGCGACACCTACTTTCCAGTGGACCCATTCGCATACTGCCAGATCCATGAGACCACACACACCTATAAAATCTCTTACCCACAACGCCATCTACAGGCTACTTTACTGTATTTAAACACATCCATACTGCATACAGTATCTGCAGTAATTTTACATTTATGAGTTGCATCAGTTGCTTCCTTCCACTACTTCTGACATTATATTTACTACATAAAGCCTCACTAGAAAATATGTCTTTCCATGTGCATGCATCTACTGTAGGTGAAGTATTGTGTATGCAATTAACAGTATAAGCCTAGGCATTTCAAAAAAGGTTAGACCAAGTGTCATTTTACAGTTTTTAATGCTAATTTGCATATAAGCTCAGCACTGTTTTACTGGGGAAAATAAAATGATTTTACAGCCAATTAAATTATTTTTGTCACAGTCTGTAGTCATATTGTCTCTCTCAGTGCAATACACATTCATGTGTGTTACTGTTTAACACCCATTCTGCATAAATATCACTACCTTACGGAGGTTCAACAATCATAATATTTTGATTATTTCTAAACAAAACAACTTTAGTTTGGAACAAAGTTCCGTAATGATAAATTAATTAGTAGCTCTATACTAACACACTGTCAGATATTGTAGGAATTTTGTATTTCTTTTTTTTTTTTATGTAAAGCAAGTGAATATTGTTTATCAAATTGGACATATGAAGTTGTCACAAACTATATATTTTATGGATATTGTCTTCCCATAAAACAAACCTACACACAATCACACACTGCAAATTTGTGGGATAGACACTTTCACACATACAACATAAAACTTTTTTAGTTTCCGCTGATCTAAAACTAATCCACTAGCACCAGTTCAAGGGTTAGTGGGTGAATCTCACAAAACGTGTCAAGAAAAGGTAATATTTCCCCCCAAAATATGGATGAAATATAAAATATGTCAGTTTTTAGGACCAATACATTTGTTTGTTTGATTGCTTTGTGACATTTTTAGGAAGATTAGGCTAATTTCTGCAAAATTTTCATTTCGATTATGCAAAACAACTCTTTTTCGGCAATGCAGATAAAATAAACATTTTACTTAAATTAGTAAATGTAAATTAATAGTATTTGTACATTGCAGTAGTATGTCATATACAGCATTTAATGTATGCTGTAATTGTTAATTACAATTATTAAAAATAATAATAATAATAATGATAAATAAAATAACTATATTCAACTAATGAGAATCCAACAACAACCACCACTGTTGTGCATTGCAGTAAATCTGCCTAATTGTTTCTTTTCATTAATGTGGTGAAATGTGACCAGGGTGTTTTAATGAGATTCATCCTAATACTGACCCCTAGTGTGGAGTAGTTTAAACTTGTAAAGTGTTTATATGTGTTAAAGGTGGTGTGTTTTTGTGGTTTGTAGGTCTTCACAGTTCATCCTTCTCTTCTCCTTCACAATAGCAGGCTGCCCTCTGGCTGTTCATGAAGGGCCTGCAGCCCAAAGTCCACATGGTGTTATACAGGGTGTCCGCAAAGGTCTCACAGGCTGTGGAAGAGAAGGGATATGAGGGGCTTTGTCTGGTGTGCAAAAGTGCGATTGCAAATGACAATCCATATAATCAGTCAAAAATATTTTCAGCTGGGTTAGCCATAACAGATAATGGATCTGTTCCAACACAGATATATACAAAAACCATTACGTACAGTTGCATCTCAATAAATTAGAATGTCGTGGAAAAGTTAATTTATTTCAGTAATTCAACTCAAATTGTGAAACTTGTGTATTAAATAAATTCAATGCACACAGACTGAAGTAGTTTAAGTCTTTGGTTCTTTTAATTGTGATGATTTTGGCTCACATTTAACAAAAACCCACCAATTCACTATCTCAACAAATTAGAATACTTCATAAGACCAATTAAAAAAAACATTTTTAGTGAATTGTTGGCCTTCTGGAAAGTATGTTCATTTACTGTACATGTACTCAATACTTGGTAGGGGCTCCTGAACAGCCAGCTTCTTTGGCAATGAATGTTTGTGGCTTACCCTCCTTGTGAAGGGTGTCAATGATTGTCTTCTGGACAACTGTCAGATCAGCAGTCTTCCCCATGATTGTGCAGCCTAGTGAACCAAACTGAGAGACCATTTCGAAGGCTCAGGAAACCTTTGCAGGTGTTTTGAGTTGATTAGCTGATTGGCATGTCACCATATTCTAATTTGTTGAGATAGTGAATTGGTGGGTTTTTGTTAAATGTGAGCCAAAATCATCACAATTAAAAGAACCAAAGACTTAAACTACTTCAGTCTGTGTGCATTGAATTTATTTAATACACGAGTTTCACAATTTGAGTTGAATTACTGAAATAAATGAACTTTTCCACGACATTCTAATTTATTGAGATGCACCTGTATATACATTACATATATATAAAACACATTACGTCTGTGGAATGTCCCTATAAAACATGGAAACCCAATGTGTGTGTGTGTGTGTTTGTGTGTGTGTGTGTATTTCACACCTTCAACTTTTGACATGAGGCCCAGACTCTTCTTCAGGTCACCACAGATGCTATGGAGGCACCAGCGGAATTTGGTGTCACAGCGGTACTTGTTAGAGCCACAGGTGTCATAGCAAATGTCTAACTGATTACAACATTTGGTCATGGCTGGGACACCAATATCAAACTGTGGAGTAACAGCAAATTACACAACATGAGCTTTAAAACTCTTTCGCACTTCATTGTTAAAACACAAACAACCACATGCAGTTCAGACGCACAAAGAACCACACAAATAACTTGTTAGTCACAAAAAATGGAACAACCTATGTGATCGCATCCTTTCAATGTCCCACTCACATTAATATTAATTAAGGAAATGAAATGTATGCGAGTCTGTATATCAATAATGGTTATATAATGAATGTATATAATAATTCAGTAACAGTTTATTTTAAGGTCCAATTCTCACTATTAAAGTCACCATGAAATCAAAATGGAAAATTCTTATTTTTTAATGGAATACTGTAGTGTTTATTATAAATAATAAATATATTACTGTGGTGTAGTATGATATACATAATACTACTACAACAATTATTACAACTTTTGTTTAAAAGAATAATCACACAATACGCTATTTCTTCCATGTTTTAATTTTAAAGTCACCATGAAATCAAAATTGAAAATTCTTATTTTTTACTGGAATACTGTAGTGTTTATTATAAATAAATTATCCGTGCACTTCATTATTTTTTTTAAATTCATGTGCTCTCGTAATCTTTAATCAAAAATGTTAACCTCCCCTCCCCCTCAAAACGACTCATCTTCTCTTCCGGTCACAAGCTATGGCGCAAGGGCAGAGCTAGTGACGTGAGGGGTAAACACTGGGATAAACTACAGGGGAAAAACTGAAGCTGATGCTTCACTTTACAGCACTGACACCAGTCATGAGGGAGTACGTTACCCTTAAACATTGAAAAGATATTAGGATATTACGACAACATTACTCTTAGCAATACAAATTTTCATCGCAAACTAATTTTTTTCATGAATATGACAACCTGATGGAGGACACGCTCAGTCATTCAGGCAGTCGCTTTCTCTCTCGCTGTTTAGGCATGTTTTTTTGCCAGATCTGCCTCCATTTTGTTAGCAACGCCCCAACTTTCAACGATCCAGTCAATTCCCGAAGGACGAAATCAAGTCCCACCCTCTTATTTCAGATGCCGTTTCTCTCGGATATACGTCACAGTAGAGAAGAAAAGACAGTCGCAACTTCCGTTTCATGCCGACTTTAACTAGTTGCTTATTAGCATGCATATTACCTGTTTATTAGCACTTATAAGGGACATATTAATGCCTTATTCTGCATGACCATATTTTAGATCCCTTAATCTGACCAAATACCTAAACTTAACAACTACCTTACTAACTATTAATAAGCAGGAAATTAGGAGTTTATTGAGGGAAAACTCTTAGTTAATAGTGAATATGTGTTCCTTATTCTAAAGTGTTACCAATAATTATGTATAATCAGTGTTGGGCAAAGTTACTTTTCAAAGTAATGCATTACAATATTGCGTTACTCCATAAAAAAAGTAACTAATTACGTTACTTAGTTACTTTTCATAGAAAGTAATGCGTTACATTTTTAAATACTTTTTAAATCTGGACAGGGCTTGCTTGTTTGTTTTTAAAATAAAAAAGTTCTATTTTTGGCAAATATAAAAGCCTTTTCACACCAAAAGTGAAATGAATAAGCCTCAGGCTGAAGGGAAAGTACATTTACGTCCGTACAGTAGAATGCAGAAGAAGAAATTTCAACACACTTCAGCAATAAAAAAAGACAGATTTGTGTTTATTAGTATGGTCGAACTGGATCTTCGAAGGTCAGAAGCAAAGACATTGGTTAATAGAATGGGATTAAATACATAAAGGATATTTGTGTTGTTTAACATTTAATTATTGCAGGTTTGCGTCATATTCTGAGTTGCATTATTTTTATTCATTTTGAGGAATACTGAATCTGTGTTTT